CTGAGGCCCAGCCACGGCCTCGGCTCAGAATTAAGTCTGAGTCTGAAAGTTCTGCCGGCCCGCCCTGGGCCTGGGGAACTGACCTTGAACAGTGCCCGAAGGGAAGCGGGAACCCAGGGCCTGGGCAGGGCTCAGCACTGTGAAGCGAAGGGGCCCCCGGAGCCCGGTCCGCTACCCTTCAGTCCTGTGTCATCCTGACACTCCCGCCTGACCCGTGTCCACTCCCAGTACAGCGGCTTACTCGCCTTCCTATCCAATTGACTCACTTGTTACTAATACAAGCTTAGTTTTGAAAGGAAACTTTATGTCACTGTTACAAATGGAAAATTGACATCATGTGCCATAAATAAAAGGTAAAAGTAAGCCCCAAAATAAACAGTGGTGAAAACCAGTTTCTGTTACGTGCTAGCGAAAGAGTTAGAGGAACGTAAAAGCTCTTGAACCTGAAGCCAGAGTCTCTGTGAAAGGGGAGCCGAGGTGGGTGACAAGGACATCTGGCTCCAAAGTGTCATTTTTTCCCTTGACTTTTCAGGGGGACTGAAAGCACTCTGAGCAAGAAACGGTTTCCTTGATTTCGATTTAATGGCATTGAACGTCGCTTCCCTAAGCTCTCATAAGGGTCCCCGGTGGTGTACTTCGTACCGCTGAGAAGTATGGCCTGGCGGGAAGGGCATTGCGGGCAGAAGGAAACTGAGCCGAAGCCCCCGCGGGAGTGGAGGGGACAGAGGGAGGGAGCGTCTGGTGTGGCCAGAGACAGCCGAGGTGGGAGGCCTGCTGAGTGGTTCTTCCCTTCGGCCCTAGTTTGGCAGGACCCAGCAAGATAGACCCAGATCGGCTTGCGGAGTTCTCCCTGGCCAGAGAGTGTGTTGGGCAGACCAGGTCGGAGAGAGGAGATGAGGATCCACAAGGAGAAAAAAGAAAGATAGAAAGCAAATCGGTGGAGGAGAGGGAGGAAGGGGAGCCGGGAACCCTAGTTTGGCAGGACCCAGCAAGATAGACCCAGAGGTCTCCCTGGCCAGAGAGTGTATTGGGCAGACCAGGTCGGGGAGAGGAGATGAGGATCCGCAAGGAGAAAAAAGAAAGATAGAAAGCAAATCGGCGGAGGAGAGGGAGGAAGGGGAGCCGGGAGAATGAGGCGCATGACCAAGTTCCAGGGCCTTTAGCCCGAGAGTGGCGTGTGGAGTCTGGTGGGGTGATCAGGCTGCAGGCTGGGG